TGGTTACGGTCAGAAAAGTCGAGCGTTGCTGCACGCTGAGCGTGGAGCCAGGGATGCGGTCGCACCTTAATTCTGGAGGGGGAAAAAAACAGAGGAAGGGGGGAGAAATAAAGCGGGAGAAAGGAGAAGAAGGGAACGTCCAGCCGCTGGAAGTGTTGACAACGTCGCTTTTGGGATATTCACGTTCCTGAGCGTTTCGCGTCCTCTTTGAACACAGCATTGTGCTACGTGCTTTTTCCTTTCCATTTGTTAACCTGCAAGGAATATTGGGGAGCAAAAGCACTCTGAAACTGGTAAAATTGGGAAAAAACGTTGTGAAAAAGCTGTGCTTTGTTAAGCATTACTTTCTTTTTATTTTCCCTTTCTTCTCTTTTCTCTCTCTCATTTTTTCTTTCTTTCTTTCTTTTTCTTCCCAAGGCAGTTTAGGAATTTCATATGCTTGTCTGCAACTCATTGGAAATTATGCGCCATATTGAAAGTGACATATAATTATAATAATTACGGGCAATGAAAAGCGTGGCAATAATAGTAAATGTCCTACAGCTGTGGAGCTTCTGCATGAATTGATTTTAAAAGTGGGTGACATTAAACCAGCTTGTGGCACGGGGGAATGCATTCATACATAGGTATTCCGTGTGGGGAGTGGGAAAGGGGATGGGAGCTAGGAGATATCCTCGTTCTTCGCGTTTTCCCCTCGTGAAGCTGCAGAAAACGGTATCCGAAACAGCCTGGGCTGGTCGCTTGTTTCCAGTCCTAAACCCCCAGCAGAACAAGCACTTCCTTTCGTTTAATCCCCTAAACCCAGGAAAAGTTTGCTGTTTGCAGCAGGAGGTTCCTCCTTGGCCAGAGCAGGAGCAGTCGCCAGCCCACCCCCAGCACAGGAGAAGTCACTGGAAACGCTTTTCAGTTAAAATAAAAACCTGCTCTTCTAAAAGAGCTCTTCAGACTTAGTTTAGATTTTTTTCCCACTTTTTTTCCCCCCTAAATGCAGGCTGTATTCCTGGAGCTGGGAAGCTACTCGTTTCTCAGGGCAAATTCCCTTGAAATCTGGACTTTTTTGCATTACACTTCACTTTGATTTGGGGTTATGAAGTAAGGGACCAGATGTTTGAAAGATGCTAGGCAAATGTTAGGTATCTTTGGTAGATAAATGAGAGCATATTTTTGCCTGTTTCCTTGATTTATTATGTATATGGAGAGCGTTTCGTCATAACTCTTTGTACTGTAACAATAAAAAAGAGCGATACTAAAGCAGAATGTCAGCGAGGAAATACTATTGGTGAAAGGGCTTCCATTTACGATTAGACAAAAAGAGGGAAAACCAGATTTATCTCTCCACTGTAACTTCCGTGTGCTTGGAGTTGCTTGTCCTTGCAGATTAGAAGACATTGTCAGGCAGAGAGCAGCAAGGCTTTCGTTACAGCTCTCTGCTCCTTAAGAATGGCAAGTTCCCTATGGAAAAGGGAAAGATAAGAAAAAAAGCAATAATAATAACAGTAATAATGACAGGGTGGTGTGCATGAGCTCGAAGACTTTGTTTTTATTAGAGAATTCCATGGTCATACCTAAGACAAACTTCAAACACAACACGTACAAAAATTAATAAAATAGAACTTTTAGCTGTTGCTGTTGTTGCTTTTGCATCCTTTTAGGTAGTACTCGTTCTTTCAGTAGATTTTCCTTTAAAAAAAATAATATATATAAAAAAGAAACAAAAAAAAAAACAAAATAAAACTAACTCCGAAGACCTCAGGGCTTGATTAATTTACCAAAAAAAAAAAAAAAAAAAAAA